CCGAGGAGCGAGCCGGGCGTCAGACCTGTCCGAAGCTGGCCGCTGGTCTGAGGTCGCCGTGGGTGCTCGTTGATTACTGGAGTCGCTGCTGGCGCCGGCGCTGGCGTCGACGCTGGGGTCGAAACTGGCGCGGGCGCGGACGTCGATGCAGTCGCTTGTGCTGGAGTCGACGCGGTCTTCGGCGCCGGCGTCGATACCGTCTTCGCGGCATCGGGAGGGGCCCCTGGGAGGGGCGTCGGAGAGGGCGCGGGCGAAGGCGTCAGGAGGGTCGCGTGGCGGGGCACCGTGCCGGGCGGTGACCTGGGCCGTGGTCTGGCCCATTGGAATGCCATTGGGGTACTTGATCGCCTTGGCAGCCACCTCCTCGGTCTCGCGCCGCGCGAAGTCGCGGGACAGGGGAGGCGAGCGCACGCCCCTTATATTGCGCCGTGCGCGTGGACCTGGCCACAGAGGCAGAAAGCGGCGCGCGGGGCCCCGACGACCTGGCTAATGCCGCTCTCGCGCATGGACTCTGCGTCGTCAAGCCCGCAGCGCCCCGAGACCTAGTTGCCGATGCGGCGCTCGTCGGCGCGAGAGAAGGGTCGGCTGCCCCTCGGCGGGGCCCTCCGCAGGAAAAAGGGGGGGGGGGCGGGGGCGGCCGTCCGCAGCGCGGTGGTCGGTGCTGGCGTAGATGTGGGAGTCGCTGGACATGTCGATGCTCGTTGTTGGCCGGCGCTGGCGTTAGGACTGGTATTTGCGCTGGCGCTGGCGTCGGCATGGGCTTCGAGGATGGGTCCACGACTGCCTTCGGCGCCGGCGTCGGCGCGTTCGTCGATGCTGCAATCGTCGAGGGCCTGGATGCTGGATTCAGTGCTGGCGTCGACACTGGCATCGCTGCTGGTTCCAGTGGTAGAGCCACTGCTGTCTGCGGTATGACTGTCGGTGCGGGGGCTGATAGTGGCGTGGGTGGTGGCGTGGGAGCTGGAAACAATGGTGCTGCTGTTGAAGATGCAGGTGCTTGCTCCTGTGCTGGAGTCGATGCAGTCTTCGATGCTGGAGTTGGTGTTGGAGTTGGTGGTAACGTCGGTGCTGGGGTAGACGCTGTGGTCGTTTCTGTGGTCGATGCTGGCGCCGATGCTTTATCGGTCCTGTCGTTTGTGCTGCCGTTGATGCTCGGGGCCGTGCTCATGTCGGTGCTGGCGTCGATGATGGCAGTAATGGTGGGGTCGATGCTGTCCTCGATGCTGGTGCGAATGCTGGCGCCCGTGCTAGGATCAGCGCAATAGTCGATACTTGCGTCAGTGTGGGATTCAATGTTGGCGTTCATGCTGGTGCCAGTGCTGACGACAATTCTGTCTTGAGGGCGATGCGGAGGCCGATGTGGACGTGGGCGCTGGCGTCGATAATTGAATCGATACTGGCGTTGGTAATGACGTAAATGCTGGCTCTGGTGTTGGAGTCGACGCCGTCTTCGATGCTGGCGCTGATGCTGCGGTTGGTGCTTGTGTCGGTGGTGGTGTCGGTGCTGGTGTCGAAGCTGACGGGGGTGCTGGAGTCCGTGCTGGTGTCAGTGCTGATTTGGATGCTGCGACATGTGCTGGCGTCGATGCTGGCGTCGACGCTTGCTTGTCGGACGGGGAGTTGGGCTGGTGGCGGCGCCGCTCAGGAAAGTACTGCTGTTTGTGCCGAGGGGGCCCAAGATGGTGATCCTGGTCGTACTTCTGGTCGCACGTGGCGGCCGGGATGAAGGGCGGGAGGGTGAGGAAGTCCTGGTGGTTGTGCTGCTGGTCGTAGTCGTGGTAGTGGTCGCGGTCGTGGTCGTAAAAATGGTTTTGGTAGTTGTCGTGGTGGTGGCGCTGTTGGTCGTAGTATGTTGTGGTGCTGCTGGTTCCGCTGGTCATAGTGGAGGTGGCTGCGCACTGTGGCGTCTCGCATGGCATCATCAGCCTCCCTGAGGTCGCTGTCTGTCGGGAAGGCGACCCCTGTCCTGGGCCTCATGCGGGCTGGTTCCTGGCCTCATCCTGGGCAAGTTCCTGGGCCTCAACAGCCTCTGCCAGGTCCATGTCCCCCAAGACCTCCTCCGGGCCCCACACAATTCTCAGGTTGTCCAGGGGATCCTCCGACGCCTCCTCGACGTCGGCCTCCTCCAGCTCTCCCTTCTCATCTTCATCCTTGGCGTGGTCGTAGGTGCGCTGGATACCGACGTAAGCGTCGGCGTTGGCGCCGACGTAAGCGCGCTGCTGGTCGCCGTCGTGGCGCTGCTGGTCGCAGTCGTGGTGTGCTCGTTGTCACGCTGCTGCGTGAAGGGGCTGGCGCGGGCACCGATCTCGATGACGGTGTGCTGGGTCTTGGTCCAAGTGTTCTGGTCTATGTTGATGTTGGCGTCGGCGCTGTCGTGATTGCTGGCATGGGCCCTCCTGGGCCCGACAGCCAGCGCCGCCAGGCGCCGGCGCCGCGCGGCGCGACGGGCCGCGGTGGGGCCAGGCTCGGCGGCCTCGCGCGTGCGCGCTGCCAGCCCGCGCGCGCGCGCCGCCGCAGCCGCCTCTGGGCCGCCCCTGTGACGGGCAGCCCTCGTGGCTCCCCAGGGCGGTGCCGGACCCGCGGCAGGGGACACGGGTGTACCGAAGGCCCCCTGCCACGGGCAAGGCGTCGCGGGCGCCACGGCCGCGGGCAGCGCTGCCTGCTGCCATGGAGCGCAGCTGGGCGCCGCGCCTACAGCCGCCCGTATGGGGGGCTCTGCGGCCCCTCCCCGGGCGCTGGGAGATGAGCTCCCGTAGATGGAATTTTTCCTCCTCCTCCCTCCTCCTGATCCTCCTCGTCCTCCTCCTCCTCCTCCTCCTCCTCAACCTCCTCCTCCTCCTCCTCCTCCTCCTCCTCCTCCTCTTCGGTCGGTCGGAGCTAAAAGCCGGTTCGAGTCGAAACCTCTCCTAGGTGTGGGGAACAGCGCAAGGGAAAAAAGGGCAGAGCGCTCCTAAAGAGCAGGGCTGCAGGGCACGTGCAGTTAGACATCAGGGGTCAAGTCCAACACGGAGGCCAACAGCCAAAAAAAGGAGCGGGGGCCGTTACAATGCAGGGAACGGGTCCAAGGGCTTCCAGTACTCGAATCCACCCCCGAGCACTTTCTCCACTTCGCCCCCATCACTGCACAGTAACCCTTTCCTCCACTCATGTGTGAAAGCGGACGCAAGCACATCATAGAACCCCGAATGCAACTCACACTGCCAGTTGGGGGCTCTCCCGTCAAGCCCCATGTGGCAATGCCCGTCCCTGCAAACACCCCAGCCTTTCTCCCTCAGCTCCCCTTCCAGAGTGTCTAAGGACACACTCCACACAGCAATCGGTTCCCATCTTGTGTGCTGTCCAAACGTGCAACTATCGAGAACGTGCGAGGCCATCACTTTCTTTTTTCCCGCCAGAGCAACCTCGGGCACATCCTGAAATTTACAGCCATGTCCAACTTCGCGCTGTACAATCGAAGTCCACGGAACCTTGTGCAAGGCGGCCGCACAAGCGAGCTCGAGACAGTCTCTCAAGTATTTATTCTCAGACTTGACGCAACTTCGCTCTCTGGCGTTCAAATTGGGTCGGCCCCAGGCGCACTCCCGATCCCCAGGAGGTTTCACACGGGCACCATGGGTGCCTCTAAGACCAGGCACAGCAAAAACACCTCCACACAATTTCCCCTCCCCCATCAGATCCGTCCAAGTCTTAACATCTTGCTCAAGCCACTCCACGTGAGACACATGGATGAACTGAACATGCTTACTCAAAGTCGAGCTCTTGGCCTCGATATGGTCCTGAAAATCATCCACCTTCCTCTCTCCTGAGCTGACAATGAGAAAAAAAAGGCTGAAGCATGGCGTTGGAGGGTCTTCCAACGGGCGCTTGCACAGCGGGCCTGGCGAGCAGACACACAGGAGCGTCAACCGCGGGAGATACGTCAACAGCAATTTTCAGCGCGAGCGGCGGTCCGTAAACTGGGTGGGCGGCCTTTTCCACAACATTCTCATGTTTGCCAGCTCCTCCTCTTCCTCCTCCTCCTCCTCCTCCTCCTCCTCGTCATAATCACCATCAACATCACCGTCACCATCACCATCGCCATCACCATCACCATCACCATCACCATCACCATCATCATCATCATCATCATCATCATCATCATCATCATCATCACCATCATCATCATCACCATCACCATCACCATCACCATCACCATCACAATCCTCATCCTCATCCTCATCCTCATCCTCATCCTCATCATCACCATCACCGTCATCATCATAATCATCATCATACTCATCATCACCATCGGCAACATCATCATCAGCATCATCAGCATCATTATCATCATCCTAATCATCATCATCATTGTCATCGTCAGCATCATCACCATCATAGTCACCACCACCATCATCATCATCATCACCAACATCATCATCAACATTACCTTCATCATCACCATCCACCATCAGCCGTTATCACCCATCACCATCATCATCATCGTCATCATCACCATCACCATCACAAGCATCAACATCAGCATCATCAACATCAACAGTATCAGCATCATCGTCATCATCATCACCATCATCGTCAACATCATCATGACCATCATCATCATCAGCACCATCACCATCGCATCCGTCATCATCATCAACACATCATCGTCCTCCCTTCAACCATTTTCAATATCGTCATCATCATCATCATCATCATCACCCTTACCATTATACTCATCGTCATCACCACCACCATCGTCGGCAACATCAGCATCAACATCAGCATTAACACCAACATCAACATCATCACCACCATCATCTGCACCATCATCATCACCATCATCATCGTCACCATCGTCGTCGTCGTCATCATCTCCATTATCGCCATACCCCCTATCATCCTCACATCCTCGTCGTACTCATCACGGCTCCCCCAAGACTTGAGACACGAAGTGTCACAGTCGCCACCCAGAATGCTGGGCCGGCACGCTGGTGGGACTTGCCACAGGCAGCTGGATACAG